TCACGGCGGGGCGTTTCTTCTTCATGTTCCTGTCAGCCACAGCACGATCACTTATTATGAATGAGACGGAAACGTGAACGCTCCTCCGGGAGACGGAGGCCGGCGGGTCAGAAGCTTCATTAATAAACCAGAGAGGCATCAGAGACCAGAAATCATTTCAGCCGCAGAGGTTAAATTCACCTCCAGAGACACGAGCTTTGACTCGACTCTGGGATTTACATCTGTTCGACACGTCGGCACTGCCGACCACACAGAGGCAGCACGACGACAACACAACTACAGCAACACCACAACTACAGCGACAACAAAACTACAGCAACACCACAACTACAGCGACAATACAACAACAACTACAGTAACGCCACAACTACAGCGACAACAAAACTACAGTACCACCACAACTACAGCAACACCACAACAACTACAGTAACACCACAACTACAGCGACAATACAACAACAACTACAGTAACACCACAACTACAGCGACAACAAAACTACAGCAACACCACAACTACAGCGACAATACAACAACAACTACAGTAACGCCACAACTACAGCGACAACAAAACTACAGTACCACCACAACTACAGCAACACCACAACAACTACAGTAACACCACAACTACAGCGACAACAAAACTACAGTAACACCACAACTACAGCGACAACAAAACTACAGTACCACCACAACTACAGCAACACCACAACAACTACAGTAACACCACAACTACAGCGACAATACAACAACAACTACAGTAACGCCACAACTACAGCAACAATACAACAACAACTACAGTAACGCCACAACTACAGCGACAATACAACAACAAGTACAGTAACACCACAACTACAGCGACAACCAAACTACAGCGACACCACAACAACTACAGTACCACCACAACTACAGCGACAACAAAACTACAGTACCACCACAACTACAGCGACAATACAACAACAACTACAGTACCACCACAACTACAGCGACAATACAACAACAACTACAGTAACACCACAACTACAGTGACAACAAAACTACAGTAACACCACAACTACAGCGACACCACAACAACACCACAACTACAGCAACAATACAACAACAACTACAGCGACACCACAACTACAGCAACAATACAACAACAACTACAGCGACACCACAACTACAGCGACACCACAACAACAACTACAGCGACAACACAACAACTACAGTAACACCACAACTACAGCGACAACACAACTACAGCAACAATACAACAACAACTACAGCGACACCACAACTACAGCGACACCACAACTACAACTACAGCAACACCACAACTACAGCGACACCACAACTACAGCGACAATACAACAACAACTACAGCGACACCACAACAACAACTACAGTAACACCACAACTACAGTGACAACTAAACTACAGCAACAATACAACAACAACTACAGCAACAATACAACAACAACTACAGTAACACCACAACTACAGCAACAATACAACAACAACAACAACAACTACAGTAACACCACAACTACAGCAACAATACAACAACAACTACAGTAACACCACAACTACAGCGACAACAAAACTACAGCGACACCACAACCACAGCAACAATACAACAACAACTACAGTAACACCACAACTACAGCAACACCACAACCACAGCAACACCACAACCACAATACAACAACAACTACAGCGACACCACAACCACAGCAACAATACAACAACAACTACAGCGACACCACAACCACAGCAACAATACCACAACCACAGCGACAATACCACAACTACAGCGACACCACCACAACCACAGCGACACCACCACAACTACAGCGACACCACCACAACTACAGCGACACCACAACTACAGCGACACCACAACTACAGCGACACCACAACCACAGCAACAATACAACAACAACTACAGCAACACCACAAGCACAGCAACACCACAACTACAACGACACCACAACTACAGCAACAATACAACCACAACTACAGCGACACCACAACTACAGCGACACCACAACTACAGTAACACCACAACTACATTAACACCACAACCACAGCGACAATACAACAACAACTACAGCGACACCACAACTACAGCAACAACACAACAACAACTACAGCGACACCACAACCACAACACCACAACCACAACTACAGTAACACCACAACTACAGCGACACCACAACTACAGCAACAATACAACAACTACAGTAACACCACAACTACAGCAACAACCAAACTACAGCAACACCACAACAACTACAGTAACACCACAACTACAGCGACACCACAACTACAGCAACAATACAACAACAACTACAGCAACACCACAAGCACAGCAACACCACAACTACAATGACACCACAACTACAGAGACACCACAACTACAGTAACACCACAACTACAGTAACACCACAACCACAATACAACAACAACTACAGCGACACCACAAATACAGCAACAACACAACAACAACTACAGCGACACCACAACCACAACACCACAACCACAGTAACACCACAACTACAGCGACACCACAACAACTACAGTAACACCACAACTACAGCAACACCACAACAACTACAGTAACACCACAACTACAGCGACAACAAAACTACAGCGACACCACAACTACAGCGTCAATACAACAACTACAGCGACACCACAACCACAGCAACAACAGCAACAACAACAGCAACAATACCACAACAACAGCGACACCACAACTACAGCGACAATACAACAACAACTACAGTAACACCACAACTACAGCAACATCCACAACTACAGCGACACCACAACTACATTAACACCACAACCACAGCGACAATACAACAACTACAGTAACACCACAACTACAGTAACACCACAACCACAGCGACAATACAACAACAACTACAGTAAGACCACAACTACAGCGACAACAAAACTACAGCAACACCACAACTACAGCAACACCACAACAACAACTACAGCGACAACAAAACTACAGTAACACCACAACTACAGCAACACCATAACAACAACTACAGTACCACCACAACAGCGACAACAAAACTACAGTAACACCACAACTACAGCAACAACAAAACTACAGTAACACCACAACAACAGTAACACAACTACAGTAACACCACAACTACAGCAACAACAAAACTACAGTAACACCACAACTACAGCAACAACAAAACTACAGTAACACCACAACAACAGTAACACAACTACAGTAACACCACAACAACAGTAACACAACTACAGTAACACCACAGCGACAAAAAAACTGCAGTAACACAACAGCCGCAACACAACAACACATTAACAGTTCCAGCAGCAACATCAACACAAAAAACAACAGCAACAGCGAAGACGACAACAGCAGCAACACATTAACAGTTCCAGCAGCAACATCAACACAAAAAACAACAGCAACAGCGAAGACGACAACAGCAGCAACACATTAACAGTTGCAGCAACAACAACAACAGCAACACATTAACAGTTGCAGCAACAACAACAGCAGCAACAACTTTTATTGTTGAGGAGCTGGCTGGGCTTTTATTGTGAAGGTGTGTGGGGGCTTTTATTGTGGTGCAGTTCGAAGGTGGAGGGCTTTTATTGTGAAGGAGTAGCTTTCTTAATGTACTGTAAGGTTTGTTTGTTTTTTTTTGTAGTTTTGGGGTTGATTATTTTAATCAGGGGTGCGTTTCCCGAACAACCACGGAAGGTATCATTGAACTATGTTGGTACGATGCTTCATTTCCCAAAACGGTTGTACCTCATGGGTGCCACCGTGGCTTGAACTAACTTAGTTTGAATTAACGTATGTTTCCAGGTGTGTTTGTCTGACTTTCACAGCAGGAAACTCACAAAACGTCATCATATTCTGCCTAAATATGTCAGCCGATATTAAGTGACATTATTATGCTCACTTATTATTTAGGCTTTTCATATTATAGACGTACCGGCAATAACAAGAAAATCAACAATTATACATAACCTAATCATTTTATTTAGCCTAAATATAGTCTGTAACAATTACAAGATATTTAGTGAAATGGGTTTAATCTGCAAGTATCTTTGTTTCAACACTTCAACACTGCAAATGAAATCAAGATCTTGACGATAGCTCAGTGCAATATGGCTGAGCTTGTGCTTGTTGTCTGTTGAGACAGACGCGTGAGTTCTCTATTTATCTTAAAGCTCAGGGATTTATTCATTACTCTGCTGTCATGGATTTTACGCCGTCCCTTTTTATATTTATGTTTGTAATGAAGACTAGAGAGAAGCCATCTTCCTCAGAGGCTTAGAGATGTACACATGAAGGTGATATTAAAAGTCTTTACATTCTCTGTTCTGTCCTGTAACCTTTGTACTGGGTGACTAATATTAAATGAAGTTATTGTGAACAGATCTGTGAGAAAACGCCTGCTGTTTGTAGCTGGTCTACACCAAGTTACTTTTACATACATTTAAAAGTATGTTTGCAAATACATTTAAAAAACTTCAGCTGAAATATGTTTGTACAGCAGGATTATTAACGTTCCCTGCTGACTCGCATCACACTGCATCTTCTGCTCTCTGTGACCTCCTCTAACCACAGGTCAGGAGCTGTCGTTCCAAACGTGCAGCTTAACAACAGTGGTCACAAACGTTCGTCGGAACGATGGTTTCGGGGAACACCTGCGTCGCTTAACGATGGTTCGCACCAACTTAGTTTCCTCCGTATTTGAGCGAGGGTTTTGGGAAACGGTTGCGTCGCAGCTGCATAGTTCCACCCAAGGAAGTTGCTACCGTAGTTAGCTACGATGCTTTTGGGAAACGCAGCCCTGAGAGGTAACTCAGGGCCCAGACCAGTAGGACGAACCAGTACATCCTCGGTACCAGTGTTGACGTGCCTTTGAGCAAGGCAGGCCCAGTCATTTCCAGTAGGTCTAAACCTGGACTGTTTTCTCGTCATTGATGATGTCATGCTGAGGGGGCGGGGCTTACCTTTGTGAGCGAGGCAGCGGATGCTCTGTTTGCTTTGGACGTCCCAGAGTCGAACCGTCTCATCATGCGACCCAGAGAGAAGGAGAGTCCCGTCCATCGACACCGAGAGACACGTCACCAGGTTCCTGAGAGAGACATTCAAACTGACTTCAGATCCTTAATCTACTGACAGATAAATCTATTCCTCCTCTGAAGGCAGCAAACATGTCTGAAAAGTCTGAATAAAAATCAGGAGTTCAGAACTTTTCTGTCCTCGTGACCTTCGGATCATGTAAACGTGATTCCCTTTGCAGCAAGCTGTTAATCTATAAACTGCTCAGAAGTTTGAAGTAAAACTTTATTAATAGCATAATCACAGCGACGCAGACGCTGTGGTCTCACCTGTGTCCTTTGAAGACCTGGTTCCCATCGTTGTCGGACTGGAAGGATTTGTCCCGACTGAGACTCTGCAGATTAAACACAACCGGTTCAAACAGTTTAATCTTTATCGACACAGAGCAGAGCGGCCTCGTTAGTTTCCAGCTCACGTTCGCCGTCTTCTTTAACCTGCAGCCCTGTTTCTTTTTACTGACGCGCTGACACGGTTTGATGGGTTCACTTAGTTATGGTCCGAAGACGACCAATCAGACCACCACCCAGGACCTGTACGCCTCACGCCTTAAGAACATGGACACTGACTCCTATCCCGCCGCACAGGCACACGTTACGTTTTGCACATATTGTACATTCAGGGCTCGACAATAACGGGGGCCTGATGACCCGGGGCCAGTAAGAAGTAACGTTGGGACAACTGAACTAAATTTAAAATAAATTTAATTAATTAGAAACATCCTGCAGTTGTTTTCACGGTTGTCCAATCCAGAGCTGTAGTTAAGTGACAAGAGGTTGTCATGTTATTTCTCTGATCTCAGCGGCGACCTCTGAGTCTGAACGTGAAACCATGCAGACGGAGCTTAAACCTGCGTCCTCTCCAGCGGCCAGCAGGGGGCGACTTAAACCTGCGTCCTCTCCAGCAGCCAGCAGGGGGCGACTTAAACCTGCGTCCTCTCCTGCAGCCAGCAGGGGGCGACTTAAACCTGCGTCCTCTCCAGCAGCCAGCAGGGGGCGACTGAAACCTGCGTCCTCTCCAGCGGCCAGCAGGGGGCGACTGAAACCTGCGTCCTCTCCAGCAGCCAGCAGGGGGCGACTGAAACCTGCGTCCTCTCCAGCGGCCAGCAGGGGGCGACTGAAACCTGCGTCCTCTCCAGCGGCCAGCAGGGGGCGACTTAAACCTGCGTCCTCTCTAGCAGCCAGCAGGGGGCGACTTAAACCTGCGTCCTCTCCAGCAGCCAGCAGGGGGCGACTTAAACCTGCGTCCTCTCTAGCAGCCAGCAGGGGGCGACTTAAACCTGCGTCCTCTCTAGCAGCCAGCAGGGGGCGACTTAAACCTGCGTTCTCTCCTGCAGCCAGCAGGGGGCGACTTAAACCTGCGTCCTCTCCAGCGGCCAGCAGGGGGCGACTTAAACCTGCGTCCTCTCCAGCAGCCAGCAGGGGGCGACTTAAACCTGCGTCCTCTCTAGCGGCCAGCAGGGGGCGACTTAAACCTGCGTCCTCTCCTGCAGCCAGCAGGGGCCGACTTAAACCTGCGTCCTCTCTAGCAGCCAGCAGGGGGCGCCTTAAACCTGCGTCCTCTCCAGCAGCCAGCAGGGGGCGCCTTAAACCTGCGTCCTCTCTAGCAGCCAGCAGGGGGCGACTTAAACCTGCGTCCTCTCCAGCAGCCAGCAGGGGGCGACTTAAACCTGCGTCCTCTCTAGCAGCCAGCAGGGGGCGCCTTAAACCTGCGTCCTCTCCTGCAGCCAGCAGGGGGCGCCTTAAACCTGCGTCCTCTCCAGCAGCCAGCAGGGGGCGCCTTAAACCTGCGTCCTCTCCTGCAGCCAGCAGGGGGCGACTCCAGCGGCTGCAGAGAGAAACTGTTTCTACTTGTCAGCTGATTTATTCCCTCAGTAAACACTTTCCTGATGAGTTTCTGGTCTCAGTCGCTAGTTTCAAGTCTTCTTCAACACAGCGTGATGTTCATTTAGTAAATTATGGTCCCATTTAGAGGAACAGAGACCAGGAAGCAGGGGAGGCTTTAGGGCGGGGCTACAAGCTGACTGACGTGTTGCTACCATGGCGATTCGTATCCGCTGCTCTGTGCAGAGAGAGCACGTCATGTTTGACTCTGTTAGTGTGTTTTGTTTTAAAAGTAAATTGTTTTGTTAACCTTTTTATTTTTTATCATTTTAACTGTGATCACATTTTAGTTTCTTTATATCCAGGATGTATTTAATAACCGATTAAAGCTGTTAACAGAGTAACTTATAAGTCTTTGGTTTTGTTGTAACACTGATAAATAACTTTTGGAGGGAGGGCCAGTGAGTTTCAAAAAATGTTATCCAAACCCACTGGCCCCCACGTGGATAACATGTTCATATTTTATTGTCATGTTTTCCATTTCTTGCCTTTTGCAGTGCTCTTTTTATTTTCTCATACGTGCCTTCTCTTGTGTTTCCCGGCAGGCAACAAAATACCAAAGCAAAGTCTTTGTATGTGTAAACATGTTGGCAAAAATGTCCTCAGAGACTGAATCACCAGTTCAGGGGGAGGACGGGTTGGACGGGGTGTTTATGGAGGACGAGATCTCTGGTTTGTTTAGAGGATTAACTCGGCGAAGCTTTAAAATGTAAATCTGCTGTGAAAAGAAACAACAGCATTGAGTCAGAGGAACGATGGAGACGAATGAATACAGAGACGAATCCTCAAACACGCCGACTCTCCAGGATTTAGCCTCATCTACATAATTACACGTCTCCTCTTTACGTTCAAATATCATGTGCTGTAGTTTTTAGTGTAGGAGCAGAGTGAGCAGACGGATCGGACACCTTCTTTGTTTTAGATGAACTGTGGAGAGCAGCATTGACACTGAGGCCACCAGTCGGATCTGGAGATAAACCGATTTAAGATGTCAACGTCAGACTGCTGAACTATCTGAATAACAACGTTTATTTATTCAAGACACGAGAGGACGTGCAATTTCTTTGGTAGGATGTAGTATAAAGGCTGGTAGGATGTTTAGACCGGGACCATCTGGAGCACCGGGTCGCCCTGTGGGCCAACGAGCTGCTCATTATACAAAAACAAGAGAGAAGCGTTTGTGATTGTCTGCGTCCTCGCGGCGCTGCGTTATTAGATTATTTACATTATTATTAAAAAATATAAAGACCAAAACTCAGGCAGCAGGCGAGGAGGGCTTTAATCAGAGGGACTGAAGGTAACGTGGAGGAGCTGCAGAGTCTCTGTCCACAGGAGCACTGTGAGCTGGACGCCACGAGGCCTGAGGGAGACTCCCCACACACATGGAGGAAGGTACTGTGGTCAAAGCTCATCGAGGAAACCGCAGTCTGGTGCCAACACCTCAGGGACCGGGACGCTGGTCAGAACTGAAGGACGGCACTAAATGCAGGGAATCCTTGAGACAAACCTGTTTCAGTCTGCCAGAGTTCTGAGACTGGGATCCAGCAGGACCCTGGGCATCGGGTCCAAGCCCAGACCTCAAGACCTCAGACCCAGCTGAGAATCTGAGGTACGACTCAACGAACGCCGGCAGCAGCAGAACCGTCCAGACGGAAGGAGCTGCGGCAGTTTTGGCTCGAAGAAAACGGCACCGATCCGAGAGGCTCGATGTGCCAAGTGTACAGATTGAACCCCGAGAGACGGCAGGGGAGTCTTTCTACTCACGCAAGTCTTCAGTTTTTGGGATTAATTCTTGTTTGTTTTACAATGAAACCTATTTTGCATTTGTGGTTGGCATGTTGCAGAAACAGGAAGTGCTTCATCAACAGAACTCTGAACTCTGGGGCGCACAGGAAGCCGTGATTCCTTCCCTGAGTGCAGCTGCAGGACGCCGCGGCCCGTCTTCGTGAAGTCTCAATCAGCTGATGAGGCTGGACAGATCTGTGTGCGTTCTGAAAACTTTGACAGGAAGTGGAGCGTGATGTGAGGCGGCGTGGACAGTCTCACCTGGCTGCACAGAGACACCTGGAAAATGTTTCCGTCGCTGCCTCCACAGAACAGGAAGTACTCGCTGGGGTCAAAGGTCACCGACATGATCTCCACGTCAAACAGGACGGACAGCAGCAGCTCGCCAGAGGACAACTCCCACACCTGGACACAAGGAGACAAACACCTCAGAGAACCGGCAGCAGGATCAGAGGACACGAAGCCCAACGGGCCGATGTCTGAAGTCTGGGTCTGAAGGTGCAGCCAGCAGTTAGCTGGATAACCGGACCAAGACCACTTTCTTCTGATCATCGTTTACCCAGAACCCATCTGAACCCGTATGAACCCGCCTGAACCCAAAACCCATCTGAACCCAGAACCCATCTGAACCCGTCTGAACCCAAAACCCATCTGAACCCATCTGAACCCGCCTGAACCCAAAACCCATCTGAACCCAGAACCCATCTGAACCCGTCTGAACCCAAAACCCATCTGAACCCGTCTGAACCCAAAACCCATCTGAACCCGTCTGAACCCAAAACCCATCTGAACCCATCTGAACCCATCTGAACCCAAAACCCATCTGAACCCGCCTGAACCCAAAACCCATCTGAACCCGCCTGAACCCAAAACCCATCTGAACCCAAAACCCATCTGAACCCGCCTGAACCCAAAACCCATCTGAACCCGCCTGAACCCAAAACCCATCTGAACCCATCTGAACCCATCTGAACCCGCCTGAACCCAAAACCCATCTGAACCCATCTGAACCCATCTGAACCCATCTGAACCCAAAACCCATCTGAACCCGCCTGAACCCAAAACCCATCTGAACCCGCCTGAACCCAAAACCCATCTGAACCCAAAACCCATCTGAACCCGCCTGAACCCAAAACCCATCTGAACCCGCCTGAACCCAAAACCCATCTGAACCCAGAACCCATCTGAACCCGCCTGAACCCAAAACCCATCTGAACCCAGAACCCATCTGAACCCAAAACCCATCTGAACCCGCCTGAACCCGTCTGAACCCAGAAGGACCCGGAAGTTAGCCCGCTCAGCTGGCAAAAGTCAACACAGTGGACGCTGTAGCGCTACCGCTGACTAGCGTTTGGGGGTGTAACGGACGCACAAGTATCAATGCCTGTCTACGCGTGTAGTCTACACCGTAGCTACGCACGTAGACCCTACGCAGGAGTATAAATCAAGCTTAAGATGTCAGCTGATGGGTTCTGACTCCGACTCCACAGGAACTGTTCACCTGCACTCAACCGCAGCCTGCTCAAACGTGATTGGTCGATATTACTTTTTGGACTCGCCTGCAGATTCACATGCAGGATCTGTTTTTCATCTGACTGAAGTTAATTATTTAAGGAGCTTCCTGTTGTCATGAGTTTCTAACATGATTGGTGTTTTCCACCGCAGGAACTAAACAACCCGTATCCTGGTTCAGAACCTGAACCTTTAGGATCCTTGTGGGTCTTTAAACGTCATTAAACAGGCGGCAGCAGAACCGTGACGGTTCATTTTCATGGGAACGATCAGAGGATGTGATTGGTCGCTGCTGCCAGCTGACCTTTGACCTCTGCTCCCTCTTGGTGTAATAGAGCTGCTGGCTCTGCAGAACACAGACTGTGGTTCTGTTCCAGACTCCACTTAAAAATGTGATAATTTAAAGCGTGAGCAGCAGAAACGTCTCGGCTCGAATTCAACGCCTCCTGACCATCCGTTACGATGTCACATTACTGAGACTCCGCCTCCTGTGATTTATGTCAGACGGGATTTTACCAAAATTAAAAACAGATCTGAGGATAACGGGAGGAGCCGCTCTGTGTTTAAAGATGTGAATCATTCAGTCGCAGCACCTGATTGGTTCAAAACAAGTTTCAGTGCTGCTTCAATAAATACTCAGTGGATGTATTTACTCTGCAGAATACTACCTGTACTGCAGTATACGTCTGTACATGTATATACAAGCGAGCGACACGACGCGCTGCAGTCAGCACACATGAAGAAATGTTTGTAGTCAGGTGGCAGCTTCATCATCGGTCTGACAGGACGCAACCTCCTCACCTGTCTCATCGTCATGACGATAGTCTGTTTCCACCCTCGTCCATCAGCTGAACGAGCCCGAGGTCGAACCCTCAGCGACATCCTCACTCTGACAGGAAGTTAAACTGCGAGACGTACGACCGGGTTCAACGTGAAACCGCAGAGACGCTTGAAAACTGAAACAGAAACCGTAACGAGTCAGAACACCACGCTGTGTGCCGTCTACTTTATAGTACGCCGCTCCTGGTTCCACTAATGCTCTCAACAGAAGCGGCACTCTGAGATTAATGAAAGGCTTTCATAGAGAAGATGTGAGCATCTGTCCCCAAAGGGCGACCGGCCAATCACACACCAGAAAGAGGAGACGACGAGCGTCCGCCAGTTCAGAGCCTCGGGGAGGATTTATCAGCACTCGGGTTAATTCACTTCCTGTTCAGTAATGCTGTGAAAACACGACGACGTGTCTCATTTCTGTGCTCAGTTATATTCTCCAACAGAAAAACTCAAACCAAACCTCATTAAGAAAACGGCACATTTAGAGAAACTCAGAATGCATCATGCTTCAGCGTGAGGTGTCATCTCTCTGTCAAATCTCTGTGACCACGAAGTGGAATTAATGCTGCGTTCAAATCACACGGCAGAGGTGGAAATATGAGCGTCCTGCCGGGTTTCAGGAGCTAAACTGCGCTGACAGCTACAAGTCTGAGCTGTGCGGCCGGGCGGCGGGAAGGTGACGAGAGATTCAACTTAAAGGAGCTCCGTGACTCAAACTGTGGACAAGACGTCATGGTGACATCACAGGAAGCAAAGCCATCTGACACCAGGTGACGGTTCTGTCCAGGACGTCCTGCCTGCAGATCTGCTGTTAAACACCAGATAAACTGGAAGTTTTAGGAAAATACTGCGTGTGATGTCAGAGAAACGTTTCTGTCCTCAGTTTAAATATTTAAAGGTTTTATCTGAGCAGGAAACGTCTGTTTGTTTGTTTGTTGACAGTAAACATTCATTTCACCGCTGATGAAACAGATATGAGGAGTCACCGAGCCCTGACGGAGGCGCGACCACCTCCGCCCGTCGCACTGAGCAGCTGACGTAACCCCCGCCCGTCAGCTGTTGTCTTACCTTGACGGTTTGGTCTAAGGAGGCGGTGGCTATTCTGGCCTGAGCTCCCATCAGGCCACAGTGCAGGTCTGTGATTGGCAGAGAGTGACGAGAAAGGATGTGCCGCGGCTCAGGGGTGTGGCTTAGATCCAGCTGGATAGCACTGAAACACACACACACACACAGAAAACAGTAAGTGGAGCCGGGTCACGCATTCAGAACCTCCAACAGGAAACGGATGATTTTAGAGGAACCGTTCGAGACTCGGTCATGTCACAGTATAAACAGTATTTACCTTTTGGAAATGTCTTAAAGGAAACCTGGAGCCAGTCTGAAGCAGCTGATAACATTACAATCTTATATCGATATCTATAATTTACAGGGGCTCTGCTGAAGTTTGTCAGTAAACTAGATGCTGGATCCAAATCCAGTACCAGCACGGACCCAGTCCTAGACCTAGAGCTTTATGTCTAGCAAGGCGCCCGCCGCAACCCTGAACCGGGAAACGCTTCACAAACACTGATGATGACGCACAGAGTCGTTATCTGACGCGACACGGCAGATATGTGAGAGCACGGAGCAGGTGACGCGACGGTGAACACAGAGGTCACTCGTCAGCTCCCACGTTGGTTTCCATCATTTGATGTGCGACGCAGTTAACACGCCTGCTCCACAGGCGGCGCAGCTGCTGCGGTGAAAACAGATCGTAGGTGGAAACGTCCGGGAAAAGGCGAGTTTCATCTTAAACCTACTGCTGGTGGGGAAAGGGGCGGGGCCAGCAGCTGTGTTTGCAGCAGAGGTGCAGGTGAGCGAGTGAGGGAAAAGAAGTCGGATTTCAAAAGAATTAAAACACGCTTTCATTGGCCAGCAGAGTTTATTAATCAGTAATCTGATAAGACGTCAGAACGATGAAGATCAAACGTGTCAGCACACGTTTCCCATCATCCTCTGCTGCTCGCTGACATCACAGCATCGGGGGGGTTTGCAGCTTCATACACTGATACACATTTCATATTGATCCGTCTGTCATCACTCAGCCAATCAGCTGCCTCCTCACCTGGCAACAGGTTGCGGGTTTGACTCCAGCTCAGGACCTGGTTCTGATTCTGGATCAGCTCGACACGGCTACTTCTGACTGTTTCATATTTAAAGAATCAAACAAGAACCTGAGAGTCCAGCTCTGTCCAATCAGAGAGCAGAGAGAGTTGAGATCTGACCAATCAGAAAAGGTTGTGACTGATGATGAAAAGCACCAACGATCGATCATCTTTCTGTCAATCAACTAATCAATCAGACCGTAAATGTTCCTGCTGACAGGAAACACCTTGGTGCGTATCCATGGTAACAGACTGACCAGCTGGGTCAGGGCTCCCCCTGGTGGTCAGATGATCATCCTACATCTCAGGCCTCTTCGTCGTCGGCTCGTCAGGAATTTAAGAGACCAGCTGGCTTCACGCCGTTAGTGGCGTGCACGAGGACGTCAGTGACCCTGAGAAGAGGAGGAGGAAGAATAAAAGAGGAACAAAAGGAGGAGGAGGAAGAAGAGGAGAAATGAGGAGGAGGAGAAACAAGGAGGAGGAGGAAGAGGAAGAAGAAGAGAAACACGGAGGAGGAGGAGGAAGAAGAAGAGGAGGAGGAAGGCGAAAAGAGGAGCAAAAGGAACAAGGAGGAGGAGGAAGAAGAGGAGGAGGAAGACGAAAAGAGGAACAAAAGGAAAAAGAGGAGGAGGAGGACGAACAAGAGGAACGAGAAGGAACAAGAGGAGGAGGAAGGCGAAAAGAGGAGCAAAAGGAACAAGGAGGAGGAGGAAGAAGAGGAGGAGGAAGACGAAAAGAGGAACAAAAGGAAAAAGAGGAGGAGGAGGACGAACAAGAGGAACGAGAAGGAACAAGAGGAGGAGGAGGAACAAGAGGAGGAGGAAGAAGAGGAGGAAGACGAAAAGAGGAACAAGAGGAAGAGGAAGACAAAAAGAGGAACAAAAGGAAAAAGAGGAGGAGGAGGATGAAGAAGAGGAAGAACGAGAAGGAACAAGAAGGAACAAGCGGAGGAAGACGAAAAGAGGAACAAAGAGAAGGAACAAGAGGAGGAATTCGAAAAGAGGAACAAAAGGAACAAGAGGAGGAGGAGGAACAAGGAGGAGGAAGACGAAAAGAGGAACAAGAGGAGGAGGAAGACGAAAAGAGGAACAACAAGAGGAACGAGAAGGAACAAGAGGAGGAGGAAGACGAAAAGAGGAACAAGAGGAGGAGGAACACGAGGAACAAGAGGAGGAGCAACAAGAGGAGGAGGAAGACGAACAAGAGGAACAAAAGGAACAAGAGGAGGAGGAAGAAGAGGAACACAAGGAGTAGGAAAAGGAAGAGGAACACAAGGAGGAGGAAAAGGAAGAGGAACAAGAAGAGGAGGAAGAACAAGAGGAACAAGAGGAGGAGGAAGAAGAGGAGGAGGAACAAGAGGAGGAGGAGGAACAAGAAGAGGAAGAAAAGGAGGAGGAGAAGGAGGAACAAGAGGAACAAGAAGAAGAAGAACAAGAGGAAAAAGAAGAGGAGGAACAAGAGGAACAAAAGGAGGAGGAAAAGGAAGAGGAACAAGAGGAGGAAGAACAAGAGGAGGAGGAACAAGAAGAGGAGGAAGAACAAGAGGAACAAGAGGAGGAGCAAGAGAAACAAGAGGAGGAACAAAAAGAACAAGAGGAGGAGGAACAAGAGGAACAAGAGGAACAAGAGGAGGAGGAACAAGAGGAACAAGAGGAGGAGGAACAAGAGGAGGAGGAGCAAGAAGAACAAGAGGAGGAGGAGCAAGAAGAACAAGAGGAGGAGGAGCAAGAAGAACAAGAGGAGGAGGAGCAAGAAGAACAAGAGGAAGAGGAACGAGAAGGAAGAAGAGGAGGAGGAGGAAGAAGAGGAGAAACAAGGAGGAGGAGGAGGAGAAACAAGAAGAGGAGGACGAACAAGAGGAACAAGAAGAGGAGGAACAAGAGGAGAAACGAGGATGAGGAGGAACAACAAGAGGAGAAACAAATAGGAGGAGGAGGAAGAAGAAGAGGAACAAGAGGAGGAGGAACAAGAGGAGGAGCAAGAGAAACAAGAGGAGGAACAAAAAGAACAAGAGGAGGAGGAACAAGAGGAGGAGGAGCAAGAGAAACAAGAGGAGGAACAAGAAGAACAAGGAACAAGAAGAACAAGAGGAGTAGGAACAAGAAGAACAAGAGGAGGAGGAGCAAGAAGAACAAGAGGAGGAGGAGCAAGAAGAACAAGAGGAGGAGGAGCAAGAAGAACAAGAGGAGGAGGAACAAGAAGAACAAGGAACAAGAAGAACAAGAGGAGGAGGAACAAGAAGAACAAGAGGAGGAGGAACAAGAAGAACAAGAGGAGGAGCAAGAGAAACAAGAGGAGGAGGAACAAGAAGAACAAGAGGAGGAGGAACAAGAAGAACAAGAGGAGGAGGAACAAGAGGAGGAGGAGGAGGAGGAACAAGAGGAGGAGGAACAAGAGGAGGAGGAGGAGGAGGAACAAGAGGAGGAGGAGGAGGAGGAGGAACAAGAGGAGGAGGCAGCGGCGTGGGCCAAGAAACACACAGTTTCCACCATGAAGGTCAGCAGGTTGTTGCTGACCTTACGTGAGTGGAACCACATGATTGGCTGAAACATGTTTCCCACTGCGGCTGTTAAAACCAGACGATTGGCTTTCGTGCAGGAGGTGCGGCATGACCGCCATCTTTAACCTTACGGGCTTTCCCCATAGAGTTGTACTGAGGATGTGATTGAGCGGCCTGTCTCCTCTATAAAACATCTGTGGCGTGTCACAGGTGTTACCCAATCAGCCACAACCAGTCAGTAAACACAGCCGTGTTAAAAAGGCAGGAAAACGCAGTGCGCTTGCGTTCACAACAGGGCATTCGGCCGTGATCGGTATTCAGGTTTGAGTTCGGCGTGTGTTCGGCGTGTGTTACCTGGACAGGCTCCACACCAGAGCCATGTTGTCTTTTCCTCCAGAGACAAAATGGCTGCTGTCATCTGTGAACTTCAGACAGGTGACATCCTGATAATGACGACTGAGGACACACAGCAGCTTACCTGTCGACACCTGAGCAAATCAGAGAACAGGCGTTAATCACAGAGGAGGAGAAAGACATACATCGGACCCATCCAACTGGCAGGCCACATCAAGGAGACGTCACAGACTGGGTATGTAAATGCTCTGTAAAGCACCTTTCTAGTCTTTTCGACCACTCATAGCGCTTTTACACTACAGCATTCACACACATTCATTCACTGGCGGAACGGCCACCAGGGGCAATTCGGGGTTCAGTATGTTGCCCGAGGACACTTGGACATGCAGCCGGGGATTGAACCTCCGGCCTTCTGATTAACGAGCAACCCGCTCTGTCTCCTGAGCCACAGCCGTATGAAGCAGCTAACGAGGAGCCGTCGCACCTCCTCCTCCTCCTCCACACACAGGGAGGGTTACTTTAAAAATGTACAATTACTAATTACTTGTTTAAAAATGTGATCAGTAACGTAATCCAAGTACCACTAAATAAAAGTAATGTAATCTGATTACTTTTGGATTACTTCAATACCAAATCCGCAAATAGAGACAAGAGAGTACGGAAGACGTGTTTTCTGCTCAGTGGATTTTTAATTATAAAATCTGCCATTCGCATGAAATGAAAGTTTGAATGTTGTGTGAGATGACGGGGCCGGTCCGCCAGGATCTGGCTCATCACTGACCAGCGATGTTCTTGATGATATTGCAGAGTGAATATTCTGCACTGGGGGCTGCTTTAGTGTTTTTATGACGCTGCTGAGGGACCGGGTCCCCTGATTATTGAACAAAAGCTCAACTTTATTCACTGATTTTGCTGAAACTTGATCGTATTTGATGGAAAATATTTACTGCTTTTCGGTCAGATGTTTTCCGGCTGCTCTGCCTCATCTTTACGTGATTTACCGAGTTCCCTGATGGACAGAGAGCTTTAGCTAAATGTTGCTGCTGCTAACTAGCTGCCGTTATCTAGTTAGCTCAGCTCACTCTGCAGCACTGGGAGTGTTTGTTTAAGTTTACACTTTTACTCGAGCACTGGAGGTTTTCAGGCCAGGGGGACCCGGCGGGGAATGGCGCCAAGCGAGCGGGCAACAAAACTGTGCTCAGCTGCCTGAACACGACATGAGCAGGAGCGAACACAGTCTGATGAGCTGCCTCAGCCCCGGGTGACACTGTGTTCCCAGCGGTCAGACTGGCCTTCCGGTCCCGCCGCCGTGTTCACACAGCGAGAGCTGGAATCAGTCTGCACAGAGTCTGCATGACGGAGAGGGGGCGTAAACACATTCAACTACCGGCTGCACGCCGATCAACGACACCTCACTAACTTTGTGTTTGTCCCAAACAGCAGTTCAAGTACCGCCCGTGTTTTTCCAAACCTGTTATCTGCACTGTAACGGAATACAGTTACTTTATTAACGCCGTTATAACCCTGTCCACTCGCACAAGGAGAAGAGGGGCGTGGCCTGACTCACCTCCCACAGATAAATGGCCTCAGCGATGGCGGCAGTGAGGAAGAGCCCGTTAGGTGAGGCGGTCAGACAGGTGACCACACCTGGACACACGATCTTCTGCTGCAGCTGATCCTGGACAACAAACAGGAAGTCACATGACAACAGAAACAGCAGAGGCGAGCCGGAACAAACACTTTTCAGATAAAAAGAAAACGTTACAGAAATACTGTTGTTGCGATCAACAGCTCACGTGTGCGTTCAAGGATCTCGTTTTGTCAGCAGTCAACACAAAACTATCAACAGTCATGACTCACAAACAAGAACAGGCAAATCCTCAACGTGAAAAGACCACAGTTACAGTAAAAACAAAACCCTAAAACAAGTGAATGAAATTCCAGTGAATCATTTAAAATGCGGTTTGTCCTGCGTGTTGGCGTCCTGTATCTACGGCCTGAAGCAGCAACCTAAGCTTGTCAAACAGAGGCTGGATCAGCCTTCTTCTGTCAGTACCAGCTGCTATCTTGTGAAATTATGCTGAACACGCCCGAATGAGACTTCAGTTTGATTTGACTTTAAACCAAAGGTGCGCATTGTTTTGCAGAAGAAACACAACAATACGATTACAGCTGGGCGAATCGGGGCGATGTGGCCCAAAATGTCATCACGATAAAAACATTTCATATCATTCGATATCAATAATTATCAGGATAAATGTCAAATCATTATTTCTTTTAAGTTTAAAGGCTGATTTTTGAGTGAAAACTGAAGAAACCAGATGGTTAATTATGTGGTTAAACTTTTCTTTATGGTCAGAATGGGACAAACACTTGATGCCAAACAGAGGAAACTTCACAGCTGGAACATTCAAAACTATTATCTTTTTCAACCAATATGATTAGTTCATCTTTTTTTCAACAAAATAAATATTTTAATAGAAAAATGAAGTGCTAATTTGTAGAATGGCTCCGTGACTCCTGACTTTAAAACTTCACTAGCTTCTAAACTTTGACATTTCATTTCTGTCTGTCATGTGATCATGACCACGGCACATGAAACAGTAAACGCAACTCGTCAGTCTTTTCCGTACAACTCTGTGAACGTGTGACGTGTCCACCTGGCTTTTCGCGGTTCTTGTAAGTACTGTGTTCTGGATGTGCTGAGGTGGTTTGGCAGGTCAGACTGGTATAATCGCGGTTCATTTGTCCCGGCTCTCCCCTAAACAGTAATGTTCTGCATTCACACGCTCAATATCAGCTGCACAACACCTGCAATACAGTTGGCACCCTGAACCAACCCCAACCCTGGACCCCCAACCCTGGACCCCCAACCCTGGACCCCCAACCCTGGACCCCTAGCTGAATCAGTACTCTTCTTATCTTATAACTACACCACTGAAATATTAATGAGATGAGTGATTTGCACAATTGTTATTTTGATTATTAAAAAAGCATCAATTAATTAGTCTTTAGAGTAATCGCTTATAAACGGGTTACTGAGAGTCTCTGAAACACAAGTTTCACGAGTAAAATTCCAATAGACTCGTTCAACAAGCATAAACATGTAGAAAGTCTAATTTAATCTGTCCAGCTGCAGACAGGAAGGTGTTTTCATTACTAGGCCTTCTTCATGTTAATCCTGCAGACGTTGTGTTAACGCCGTTTCTCCAGCAGCAGCTTTCTTTGCTGTGACTTTAAACAGCACGTCCTCAAAGTTTAGGACTATTATTATTAGATCATTCCAAATCTGTGTACTACTATTTTATCTACTATAACGACCTTAGTTTCTTTTAAATTGTGTAAGTAAACAGAGATGTGAACAGGTGGTGAACTTCAGCAGTCCACATACAGATGTAGAGTAATGGTATAATTACATTTTTAATTTATGAAATGATGTAAAATATAACAATCCTGAGTCAGTGATTTTTATAACACACTAAAGCCCGTTTAATATACTGGATGCACACAGTCCTACTTTCTACAAAAAACAGAGAAATACAGAGTGTTGTGATGCAGGGAGAAAACATGAGCTGCACCTTCATTCAAAAATCTACTGATATTGTCTTTGATTATCGGCCACCTAATATTACTATAAATCAGATACGAGGTGTTAGGTAATATAATAAAAACTGGCTGATTTGAAATTCGGCGTAATTAAAAACCACGTTAATACACATTATTTATTCTTCATTAAACCTTTGCTACGGTTCCATCTGTTCTCACGTCCTTCTTGAACCAAAACGCACAATGGAGGGATGCAGCGAGCTGAGCAGAGTTTATTACAGCAGACCATCATCTTTTAACTAAAGTTAAATTAAATTTGGTGGATGCTTTAAACGCCGAACTGACCAACAGACCCGACTGGTCGGTACTGCTTCTTGCCTGTTGTCTTACAGGTGTATTTGTGTTTGAAGGCGAGCGTCGTGCTAAAAATGACTGATTTCTTTACATGAGATTGGTGAGGTTTTGTCTGTCTGTGTTCAGGAGTGACTCCGGGCATTTCCCGCCACCTGTTCCCCGCAGGTGACACGCAGCAGGTGTGTTCTGCTGTGTTCGTGAGTCTCCAGGTGTGTTGAGATGCACGGCCCGTACCTTCCTCTGGATTTCCCACACGTTGATGAAGTTCTTGGCCACCTGGGCGGACAGCAGGTACTGCCCGCTGAGGACGGTCAGTGTCCGGGCCGCGCTGTTCCCTCCCCGGTAAGACAGCAGGCTGGAGCCGCTGTGCAGGTCGAACACGGTGCTGTTCCAGAGCTGAGACCCGGAGTCGCTGCTCACTATCACTTCCAGAGGAGCCGCCATGTTGGCTCCACCACAACACACTACACACGCGGGGAACCAGCGGGGTGCTCCATCATTTCCGGGACCAGGTGCATTGTGGGAGTTGTAGGAGAGGAACATCATCATAATGCACACGACGAGGGAAATAACAGAATAGTATATTTAGGAGTTATCTGATATATAATAATAATAGTTTTATTTATTAAGTCGATCAAATAAGAGCTAAAAATACTAATAGAGGACTCACACACTGGTTTATAATAATCAATATAAAAACATACAAAAGTCGATATAAAAAAACATAAAGGTCATAACGTTGTTTAAAACATAAACAAGCCAATATACAAATAACCAACAATAATAATTTAGACATCACACACGGAAGATAAACCAGGAACAGACTGTGAGCCTGACCTCCTGTGGTAGTCTAATCCAGACTGTAGGGGTACTGACAGCAGAGGCTCTGTCCCTTTTGCTTTATAGCCTAGACCTTGGAATAGTTATCTGTGCCCCACCAGAGGATCTCAGTCTGCATCCCGGCTCACAGAGGGATAAAAGCTCAGAGATGTATGAAGGTGCCAGCTAATGTCTGGCCCTAAAAGTGATCAGAAAATTAACCCTAAAAGAAACAGGCAGCCAGAGCAGCAGGGGCTGCAGCAGCTCAACAAAGTCAAGGGGCTGCTGCAGTACAACAAAGTCAAGGGGCTGCAGCGGCTTAACAGAGTCAGTGCGCTGCTGCAGCTAAACAAAGTCAGTGCGCTGCTGCAGCTAAACAGTCAATGGGCTGCTGCCGCTCAGCAGAGTCAGTGGGCTACTGCAGCTAAACAGTCAGTGCGCTGCTGCAGCTCAGAGTCAGAAAGGTTGCAGCAGCTCAACAAAGTCAAGCTCAGTAGAGTCAAGGGGCTGCTGCAGCTTAACAGAGTCAGTGCGTTGCTGCAGCTCAACAAAATCAAGGGACTGCTGCAGTACAACAAAGTCAAGGGGCTGCAGCTCAGCAGAGTCAGTGGGCTGCTGCAGCTCAACAAAGTCAAGGTGCTGCTACAGCTCAGTAGAGTCAGTGGGCTGCTGCAGCTCAACAAAGTCAAGGGGCTGCTGCAGCTCAGGGGCTGCTTCAGCTCAGCAGAGTCAGGGGGCTGCTGAAGCTGCTGAAGCTCAGCAGAGTCAGTGCGCTGCTGCAGCTAAACAGTCAGTGGGCTGCTGCAGCTCAGCAGAATCAGTGGGCTGCTGCAGCTCAACAAAGTCAAGGTGCTGCTGCAGCTCAGTAGAGTCAGTGGGCTGCTGCAGCTCAACAAAGTCAAGGGGCTGCTGCAGCTCAGGGGCTGCTTCAGCTCAGCAGAGTCAGGGGGCTGCTGAAGCTGCTGAAGCTCAGCAGAGTCAGTGCGCTGCTGCAGCTAAACAGTCAGTGGGCTGCTGCAGCTCAGCAGAGTCAGGAGTCTCAGTAGATTTTAACAGTAGAGATGAAGGTGGAGAGTAAATGTCAAACTGCAAATTCACATCAGATATCAGCAGCTCTGCTGAAGCAGCTTCATGTCTCATAAATTAACATCCAGGGAATAAAAGTGTTCAGTTCAGTACAAGTTCAAGGGGCTGCTGCAGCTTAACAGAGTCAGTGCGCTGCTGCAGCTCAACAGAGTCAGAAAGGTTGCAGCAGCTCAACAAAGTCAAGGGACTGCTGCAGTACAACAAAGTCAAGGGGCTGCTGCAGCTTAGCAGAGTCAGTGGGCTGCTGCAGCTCAACAAAGTCAAGGGGCTGCTACAGCTCAGCAGAGTCACTGGGCTGCTGCAGCTCAACAAAGTCAAGGGGCTGCTGCAGCTCAGTAGAGTCAGTGGGATGCTGCAGCTCAACAAAGTCAGTGGGATGCTGCAGCTCAACAAAGTCAAGGGGCTGCTGCAGCTCAGTAGAGTCAGTGGGATGCTGCAGCTCAACAAAGTCAAGGGGCTGCTGCAGCTCAGTAGAGTCAGTGGGATGCTGCAGCTCAACAAAGTCAAGGGGCTGCTGCAGCTCAGTAGAGTCAGTGGGATGCTGCAGCTCAACAAAGTCAGTGGGATGCTGCAGCTCAACAAAGTCAAGGGGCTGCTGCAGCTCAGCAGAGTCAGGGGGCTGCTGAAGCTCAGCAGAGTCAGTGGGCTGCTGCAGCTCAGCAGAGTCAGGGGGCTGCTGCAGCTCAGCAGAGTCAGGAGTCTCAGTAGATTTTAACAGTAGAGACGAAGGTGGAGAGTAAATGTCAAACTGCAAATTCACATCAGATGTCAGCAGCTCTGCTGAAGCAGCTTCATGTCTCATAAATTAACATCCAGGGAATAAAAGTGTTCAGTTCAGTACACGCAGTAGTAGTACACACACACAGTACACACTATACACAACACACACAGACAAATAATGAGAGTGGAACATAGTAGAACCACCTGAAATGAAAACATTGACAGAACTAAAGGTTTTTAACACAAATACAGAAACGCGTCTGTGAACGCTGACTGTACAGGATACAAACCACATAAACATAAAAATACATGCACATTTTGGGCGTTCATGTGTGAGTATGCACGGTCACACAAGCACACATACACACACCTCTTATTTTGTGTTGTTGTTTCTGGTCTCTGTTTTATCTCAGTCTGAACTGTATCTTAGTGCATGTACTGGATTTAATTGTTTGTATTTTAATATATATATATATATATATATATATATATATATATATATATTTAAACTCAACACTTTAAAAGCCTCACCAGGGACACACACGTGTCAAAGAAACCTGAACACACAGCATCTACTTTGTAAACTTTCTGTCATTTGTCCCTGTCGAAAAAACAAGACAACAACAAAATAAAAAATAAATAAAACAAATGGACACACAATACACACATGATACACACACAGTACACATATAATACAAACACAGTACACACATAATACAAACACAGTACACACACAATACACACACAATACACAGTGAGTGCTGATGTAAACAGTCTGTGGTCTCGTCAGGTTAATGAGTCCTGACGAGCTGCTCAGTTTAATCCTCCTTCTTCTGTTCCACCGACCAATCAGAGCTGCTGATGTCATCCTCTCCCCTCCCCCACCCTGTGTGTGTGTGTGTTCAACCTCTTTGTGTCAGCTCGGTTGCCGAGGCAGCAGCAGTGTGAGGACGGAGGTCGCATGAAGCGTCGCTGCGTTCCTCTGAGAGCCGACCACAACCTGCTGACCCCCGACACACACACACAGTGAGTACCACACCGTATACGCAGTACACACAGTGAGTACCACACCGTATACACAGTACACACAGTACACACAGTGAGTACCACACCGTATACACAGTACACACAGTACACACAGTGAGTACCACACCGTATACACAGTACACACAGTATACACAGTGAGTACCACGCAGTACACGCAGTGAGTACCACACCGTATGCGCAGTACACACAGTAGCCTGCACACTCTCTTCTCCCTGATGTTGAATGTTCGGCGAGACGTTCATTGTCTCCGTGTTTTATTGGTTCTCCTGATGTTTAAAATGTGTGTTGGAGAGCTGGAGGTTCTTCGGTTTCTTGTAGAGTTTGTTGCTGTAAATGTTCTCCTTCCCGGCGGAGCCTGTGATTTCCGTCGCGCTCCGTCATGTGTTGTCACACTCTACGAGCCTCATTAAATTAGTTCGCCCCTGCACAGTTTTAGCTGCACAAGTAGAGCCAATAACAGCCTGTCATATCTTCCTGCACCTGATGCTTCGTGATGACTGCACGCCTCAGTAAGTCCTTCACACTGAACTGATCCCAGTCCTGCTGAACTGGCGCCCTCTAACTGTGGTCTGTTCACAGGTCGGGGGTCAGGCTGCATCCTGTTGCCCAGGTGAGGTCGGAGGGCGTGGCCTCAGGACACCTGAGTGACTTGTCCAGCAGTGAATCAGCTGTCGGCGAGGCGAGGCGACGGCCCCCTGTAGCGTCTCCAACTCGCCGTCTGCGATTTGAGGATGAGACAGAGACGGAGGCGGAGTCCCGTTACCTGGAGCGGCAGAGGAGACGGGGGGGTCAGCGAGGGACAGGTGTCCTGGTCTCCAAACCAGACCTGAACCTGTACGTCAAGGCCAGGGCGGAGGCGGGGCATGTTGCTGACAGACAGCAGAGAGGACGGACGCCGGCAGGGGGGCAGTGTGACTTATGTGGGACAGTTTTAGGAGGTGGAGTCAACCTGAACCTCCGTTTACACCCACATGTACCTGAAAATAGGGGGCGGAGACTGTACAGGACTGAGCCAATCAGAGAGACCTACATTGGCTGTGTCAGACCTGGTGAGACCAGCGGGGGAGGGAGCGGCGCTGGCCAGGTGATGATGGGGCCCAATCAGGTGGAACTTAATGGAAACCAGGTGACCCTGCTTAAGGCCACGCCTACCACAGACCTGCCAATGAACCCCTACGCCCCTGACCAAACAACCACGCCAGCTCAGCCCTCCTCCTCCTCATCTTCTCCTCATGTGACATCACTGATGATGTCACAGAGCGTCAGGCTCAACTGCACAAAATCAGGGCAGAACCAGAACCAGGAGGAGCGAGGGAGACCTGCAGCAGCCAAGCCCCACAGAGAGCTACGATCGGGGCCAGAGCTGAAGGAGAGGAGCCCCTGTGTGAAGGATGGAGGTCTGGATCTCAGGATGAAGAGCCCCTCCTCCTCGTCCTCGTCCTCCTCAGGAAGGAGCTCAAAGACTACAGGTGAGGACATTGACCCACAGTCAGATAAAGCAGGGCTCCAGTCTGCAGGTGCTACCTCACAGAGTGCTGATGGGGGGCGTAGTAGAGTCGGCGAGCAGGGGAGGAGCCACAGTGTAAAGTCTGTTGCTGCCCGACGTCCACCTCACCTGTGTGGATCCTTCTTCTTCACCTCAGAGCTGCAGAGGAGGGCTTCTCTTTTCAGTCCTGTTTGTTTCATCAGACTCGGTCTGAAGTGTAATAAACACATGTTAAATGCACGTCATCCAGGCAAACTGTCGTCATGACAACAAGTACTGAAAAACTTTACTGAGTGTGCGTCAGCTGACCTCACTAACACTTCCTGTGTTCGGTATTTCAGGTTACATGACACATATCTGTAAACACACTTACATCTCTACCTGTGATTGGTTTACAGCCGAGAGCCAAGCCCCTCCCACCACAGACAGCAACAGCGATGGACAGGTCAGACAGCCAATGACAGCCGACCTTGACAGTGAGGACACGTCACTTCCTGAACAGTGAGTTTAAACCCAAACTGTGTGTGTAACGCCACCTGCTGGACGTCTTATTCCAACACTAAACACTTTGCACGTAGACTGATGAGTCAAACTAAACAAATGTCCAGAGGCAGAGGAGCGCCACGCTCAGGGAGTGGGTGGAGACCAGGGCCCGATCAGACCAGGGCTCTGCGGCAGGAAGCCCCAAAGACCAGCACAGGAGTTGGTTGGACTGGATGAAGAGCAACAGGGAGCCAGTTTAGAGAACAGAGAACACACGTGATTTCACAAGTTATTCCAGTGTGTGAACTGCTTTCTGTGCCACATTAACATTCCTGAACGGTTGCAAACTGTTTCATCACAGACCAGGATCGAACATTTCTGACCAACAAGCAGCGCAGCGCTTTGCTTGGGTAACTCATGAAACATGAAAATCCTGGATTTACCTGGATAAACAAGATTCTTGTTTATGTGCATCTATTGATAAAAAATAATACATACATGTAATGAATGTGACTGACAAACAAACTTTATTAACTTTATACACCTGATGCACACTGATAGTCAGAATGAGTTCTGATTTAATCATCTCCGTTTCCTTCAGCTTCATAAGCAGAGACGATTCCTCTCGTCTTTCTCTGCGACGTCTTCTCTCCACCGTCAGACTGAGCAGGACTCGAACCGGCAGCCTCGACCGCCTAAGTTCACGACCCCGCTCCTCATCATCTGGCTCCGCCCACTCTGATCCCCCCCCTCTTGTCCCAAGAAGTCCTCTGGCCTCCTGAAGAAAACACCCTCTGTTCAGTCGCTCAGTGTGGTGAGGAGATTCATTACTATATTTTTATAATCGCCTGCCTGAGTTTTTGACATTACCTGTGTGTTTCCTGTCTGTCCAGCAGGGGTCGCCCTTCTTCTTCTTTGACCTTTGTCTTTCCTGTCTGTCCAGCAGGGGTCGCCCTTCTTCTTCTTTGACCTTTGTCTTTCCTGTCTGTCCAGCAGGGGTCGTCCTCCTTCTTCTTTGACCTGTGTGTTTCCTGTCTGTCCAGCAGGGGTCGTCCTCCTTCTTCTTTGACCTGTGTCTTTCCCGTCTGTCCAGCAGGGGTCGCCCTCCTTCTTCTTTCACCTGTGTGTTTCCCGTCTGTCCAGCAGGGGTCGCCCTCCTTCTTCTTTCACCTGTGTGTTTCCCGTCTGTCCAGCAGGGGTCGCCCTCCTTCTTCTTTCACCTGTGTGTTTCCCGTCTGTCCAGCAGGGGTCGCCCTCCTTCTTCTTTGACCTGTGTGTTTCCCGTCTGTCCAGCAGGGGTCGCCCTCCTTCTTCTTTGACCTGTGTGTTTCCCGTCTGTCCAGCAGGGGTCGCCCTCCTTCTTCTTTGACCTGTGTGTTTCCCGTCTGTCCAGCAGGGGTCGCCCTCCTTCTTCTTTGACCTGTGTGTTTCCCGTCTGTCCAGCAGGGGTCGCCCTCCTTCTTCTTTGACCTGTGTGTTTCCCGTCTGTCCAGCAGGGGTCGCCCTCCTTCTTCTTTGACCTGTGTCTTTCCTGTCTGTCCAGCAGGGGTCGCCCTCCTTCTTCTTTGACCTGTGTGTTTCCTGTCTGTCCAGCAGGGGTCGCCCTCCTTCTTCTTTGACCTGTGTGTTTCCCGTCTGTCCAGCAGGGGTCGCCCTCCTTCTTCTTTGACCTGTGTGTTTCCCGTCTGTCCAGCAGGGGTCGCCCTCCTTCTTCTTTGACCTTTGTCTTTCCTGTCTGTCCAGCAGGGGTCGCCCTCCTTCTTCTTTGACCTGTGTGTTTCCTGTCTGTCCAGCAGGGGTCGCCCTCCTTCTTCTTTGACCTGTGTGTTTCCCGTCTGTCCAGCAGGGGTCGCCCTCCTTCTTCTTTGACCTGTGTGTTTCCCGTCTGTCCAGCAGGGGTCGCCCTCCTTCTTCTTTGACCTGTGTCTTTCCTGTCTGTCCAGCAGGGGTCGCCCTCCTTCTTCTTTGACCTGTGTCTTTCCTGTCTGTCCAGCAGAGGTCGCCTTTCTTCTTCTTTGACCTGTGTCTTTCCTGTCTGTCCAGCAGGGGTCGCCCTCCTTCTTCTTTGACCTGTGTCTTTCCTGTCTGTCCAGCAGGGGTCGCCCTCCTTCTTCTTTGACCTGTGTGTTTCCCGTCTGTCCAGCAGGGGTCGCCCTCCTTCTTCTTTGACCTGTGTGTTTCCCGTCTGTCCAGCAGGGGTCGCCCTCCTTCTTCTTTGACCTTTGTCTTTCCCGTCTGTCCAACAGGGGTCGCCCTCCTTCTTCTTTGACCTGTGTGTTTCCTGTCTGTCCAGCAGGGGTCGCCCTCCTTCTTCTTTGACCTGTGTGTTTCCTGTCTGTCCAGCAGGGGTCGCCCTCCTTCTTCTTTGACCTGTGTGTTTCCCGTCTGTCCAGCAGGGGTCGCCCTCCTTCTTCTTTGACCTGTGTGTTTCCCGTCTGTCCAGCAGGGGTCGCCCTCCTTCTTCTTTGACCTTTGTCTTTCCCGTCTGTCCAGCAGGGGTCGCCCTCCTTCTTCTTTGACCTGTGTGTTTCCCGTCTGTCCAGCAGGGGTCGCCCTCCTTCTTCTTTGACCTGTGTGTTTCCTGTCTGTCCAGCAGGGGTCGCCCTCCTTCTTCTTTGACCTGTGTGTTTCCTGTCTGTCCAGCAGGGGTCGCCCTCCTTCTTCTTTGACCTGTGTGTTTCCTGTCTGTCCAGCAGGGGTCGCCCTTCTTGCAGTTGAGGAAGTCACCATCAGGTCATTCTTTTGGGTCGGAGCAGAAGAAGAAGGACCGCTCTGCTGACTACAGACCAGCTGCTGACCAGTAACACACCAGTTTCTGATTTTAGTCTGTAATAATTAACATCACAGCTCGACTCTGTCTGAACCTCCACACAGCTGCTGCTGCTGAACATTTAGACTCCATGTTTCTGTCAACGACAGATTCTATGAATTCACGGTTTCCACTCTTCGGCTCAAAGGCCGAGGAGACCCTGAATAATTTAAGGCCTGAACACCAAACGTGCGAGGTCCCATGATTAAAAGCGAACAGTGCGTTTTCGTGGAACAGCGTGCCTGTGGCGTGGCGTCCAAAATTGATGATTTACCATAAAACAGGAAGTTATTGTAACTTCAGTCTACATGCTCACATCTGCTCCAAATTTGGAATACACTATAAAAGTCCCCCCTGAACACATCCACACGCCAATATTCACTCAAAGTCAGAGCGCCACCTGCTGGGAAATGACACATTTTATGTTGTAAAGTATGACTCCTAGCAGGTCGCTGTCAACTGTCCCAGGAAACCCTTAACACATTGATGAGGCCATGCTGTAAAACTTGTGAATTTTTGGTTAACGGCTTGGCAGTGGCGTGGCGGCGAAGTTAAACTCTTCGCCATTACACAGGAAGTGGTCATAACTTCAGTGTACATGCTCACATCTGCACAAGTCTTTACGTGCTTGATAACTGTCCCGCCCCGAACACATCACACATGCCAATATTCATTTGTAGTCGTAGCGCCAAGTGCTTGGAAGCGCCACAGGACATGATGTTTAACCCCTTTGTGCAGCGCCTGAAGCGCGGAGCAAATTCACAGCTGCACCGGCAGAGCTCCAGAATCTGCAACGTAGCCGCCTCACACCCCGACACGCTACAAGTGCGACGCCCCGCTTGCACCTTTAGTTTGACCTGAAGTCCATGGAGGCGTTTACTACTTACACTAACATTGTACTGACTAGTACTACTGATCCTGTCTCTCCCTGTCTGTCTCTCAGGTTCCTGCAGAGGTGTCTCAGTATCGAGGACGTCGGCCGTCCCAGTTCAGTTCGTTCTGTCGGTCGGGTTCTTCAGGTTTGTTCTGACGGAACGTTGTTGTTGGAACTCAGTCGACCGAAGAGCCAAATGTACGGATTCATCATCAGCAGGGGGAGAGGACGAGCTGACTCTGGTACTGCATATACTAATACTACTGCAAATACTACTAACACTACTACTGATCATTAGAGGGAGAGGACGAGCTGACTCTGGTACTGCAATACTACTAATACTACTGCAAATACTACTAACACTACTACTGATCATTAGAGGGAGAGGACGAGCTGACTCTGGTACTGCAATACTACTAATACTACTGCAAATACTACTAACACTACTACTGATCATTAGAGGGAGAGGACGAGCTGACTCTGGTACTGCAATACTACTAATACTACTGCAAATACTACTAACACTACTACTGATCATTAGAGGGAGAGGACGAGCTGACTCTGGTACTGCAATACTACTAATACTACTGCAAATACTACTAACACTACTACTGATCATTAGAGGGAGAGGACGAGCTGACTCTGGTACTGCAATACTACTAATACTACTGCAAATACTACTAACACTACTACTGATCATTAGAGGGAGAGGACGAGCTGACTCTGGTACTGCAATACTACTAATACTACTGCAAATACTACTAACACTACTACTGATCATTAGAGGGAGAGGACGAGCTGACTCTGGTACTGCAATACTACTAATACTACTGCAAATACTACTAACACTACTACTGATCATTAGAGGGAGAGGACGAGCTGACTCTGGTACTGCAATACTACTAATACTACTGCAATACTACTAACACTACTGCAAATACTACTAACACTACTGCAAATACTACTAATACTACTACTGATCATTAGAGGGAGAGGACGAGCTGACTGGTACTGCAATACTACTAATACTACTGCAAATACTACAACACTACTGCAAATACTACTAACACTACTACTGATCATTAGAGGGGGAGGACGAGCTGACTCTGGTACTGCAATACTACTAATACTACTGCAAATACTACTAATACCTAACAGCCCGAGATGAAACTTTTCAGTGTTTACTCAGCATGTTCTTGTGGTTCATCGATGGTACTAATACTGCATTACCGTGTACTAATACTGCATTACCGTGTACTAATACTGCATTACCCTGTATTAATATCGAATTACTGTGTACTAATACTGCCTTACCGTGTACTAATACTGCCTTACCATGTACTAATACTGCATTATGGTGTACTAATACTGCATTAACGTGTACTAATACTGCATTACGGTGTACTAATACTGCATTACAGTGTATTAATACTGCATTATGGTGTATTAATACTGCATTATGGTGTACTGATACTGCATTACCGTGTAATAATATTGCATTACCGTGTAATAATATTGCATTACCGTGTACTAATATTGCATTACCGTGTACTAATACTGCATTACCGTGTACTAATACTGCATTACCGTGTGTATTAACAGTGTAACAACATGTGTACTGCAGGCGTGTACGTGGAGGACATGGTGGACAGCGGCACTGAGAAGTTGTACGCCGGCCTGCTGGTGGTTGGGGATGAGATCCTGGAGGTGAACGGGGAGAAGGTGGTCAGTCTCAGTCTGGACCAGGTGACCCACCTACTGACCCAGAACCCCTCCGCCACTGTCCGGGTGCTCCGACACTGGAGGACCCCCCCAAGGTGACCACAACGCTGCCTGACTGCAACTACAGCCGCCGCTCAGCTCATGTCCATTTAAAAAGCACTTTACACACACACGGTGGATCCGACGTGCTTCAGAGTCAGGAGCCGCGGTCACAGGGCCCCACCGACACCACAGACCTACAGAGACCTCAGGAGACATACCTGAGCTGGTGAAAGGCTGATGGAGGGAGAATGTTCAGGGGCAGCGATAGAGAAGCTCCCGTAACACTTAGTCCTGGACCTGGGGTCAGACTGAAGTCTCTGATCTCAGTGTGATGTGGAAACAGGACCTGTGGAGACTTATAGAAAAGAAGGTTTGCAGCCATTCTGGATTTGAGGTCCTCAGCAGGGCCGTGAGTACGACGGTGCAACCTGTGCACCAGGGGCCAGCTCATCGTGATCAGACGCCATCATCCATTTATTCACTGGGCTTTTCTTGATCGCTGTTTGTTCCGTGGTTGCTGACAGTCTGTGTTGATTTGTTACCATCCGCAGGCAGATCAGCGCAGGTGAGGGAGGCACAGTTAGACGTTTCACATTTGAAGAGCTCATCGCCGCTTTGACTTCTAACTGCGACACCTTTATATTTACTACACACTGGTTGTGAGGCAGCACGATGTAACAGTCCCAGTTTGTGCTGACTCCCCGGGCCCCTGAGTCAACGGGTGCATTCGAGATGACTGCGGCTGACTTTCGCCGACCTGACTTAAGTGTAATTTAACTGAGTAGCCTCGCAATGCCTCTGAGCCGACAGGAAGTTCCCGTGCTTTGTAGTAAAACGGCGGCTGGATATATTTGACCGTCACAACCCAAGCGAAATGACTCGGTAACATTTGAAAAGGCTACAACAGCCGCACGGGTACAGTTTTACCCCCATGGTGCATCTGTGGAAAAGCTCCCGCGAGGTTTTAATGTCATGTGACATGGTGACGTTTTGCAGCGCGGCCAAAAGTCGGACACAATTTCTACCCAGCATGCCTTATTTTAAGTCCAGCGTGCAACACCTTAAGTCAGTACCGCATGAAGTCAAACACACCTAATGCAACAGGGGGAACGCCGTCATCACTCAGAGGGCGGCAGTAGACGATGAAGCGGCGGCGGGCAGTGTGTCGACGGAGACCAGGGGCCATGTGTATGCACAAAAACATATGTAGATCTCTCGTACGCTCAGCGGGCCAGCGAGTGTCCAACTGTGGTGCGAACTGAAACTTACTTTGTTTAAAGGTGCAGGTGAGCTCAGCGCTGCCTCCTGTGGCTGAGGAACATCAGGTGACTCAGGGGGCAGGAATGAGCTCAATACAGCAACACTCCATAACTAACTGGGACACTGGAAGAACGTGAGCCGGCTGACCTGCTGACTGAAATTAAAAAGCTTGTTTTATTTTTTCTCCCCCTGCAGAGCTGCTGGCAGGTAAAATAAAGAGAACGCAGTAACGATGTAGTACTGGTGTTTACAGTATTTAAAGAAGCCTCTGCAGTATTTCTGTCATATGTATTTTCATGTTTGCTTATATTTTCTGACAAATAAAAGAAAAAGGATGAAGTGAAGCTTCCTGTTCAATCTTCTTCTGACGGGATGAACGAAATATATAAACCTGCTGTTTGTATTTCTTTCACTTACAGTTGGACCGTACGAGAGCACGACCAAAATACACACCACGAAATACGCTGTAAATAAAATATTAGAAATATTTAACCCTCCATATGTTTAGGCAGCATATAAACATCTTGTGTCTGTGAGCAGAAGTTATTCAGCTGTGAAAGTCACTAACAGATCTCTGCCTGTTATTGAGCCTCAGCTGATCCAAACGTCATGAAAACAGGCAGAAAACATGTCAAAGATCAGATTCCGTTTTTATTTTCTGCATCAGTTCATTGAAATAAAATTCACCAGCAGACATAAAACGTTCACACACACAAAGTAATGAATAGACAATGTTTTCAATTCACGATTAATAATACAGTTTAAATGGTTTCACTTCTCAAACGAGTTCACTCAGCTGAAATATTTTAATGTTCCAGAGTTCTGGAAGGAAAAGTGCGATGAGAGAACTTCTCTTCTGAATTCACTGAGCTGATGTGTCAGCAAACAGAGTGGATTCATCATCATCATGTCGGTTGAAACATGGATTTCATTTCAACATAAAATAAATGTTCAGTCGACACAGAAACAGTCATTAAGGGTGAAACCTGCAGGATGGACTTCTGAAGAGTTAGTGTTGAAATTCTGTGTTTTTCAGTCAGTTATCAATACTGAGGTTTAGTTTATTAAAACAGTAACAGGAAACATTTTAACACCATCTGCAGACTGAACCTGCGTCTGACTGTGCTTTCAGACCAAAAGCGAAGCGAGCGTTCGGGGCGGGGAGTCTACATACAAAGTCAATGCAAAGACGCATAGAGCTGCGATTTCCTGTCAGGCGGTGCGAAGGGTCGGTGCCGGTGTCGTGAAGGCAACGTGAAGGCCGGAGTTGAAAATTTCCAACTCGAGCGAATTTTCGCGGGTTCTAATTGCCTTCTCGTGTTGTGTGAACACTTGCAGCTAATGTACTCACGCGAGGAAAGTGGCGTTTGGTCTGAAAGCACCATTACAGCTCACCTGTTATCAAACAGGCAGTTAGCTCGCATGCTAACTTCCTGCTGCTGCTTCACATTAAAGCCCACCAGAGGTGCACTGGGGAAAGGCTTTTATTGTGAATTGAAGCAGCAGGAAGTGTGTGGTGTGAATAAATACCGTACAGGAAATAAAATAAAGTAATAAAAGATAAAACATCAGTCGCCTAAAGACACAAATTGTAAACAGAAAAATAACAGAAACAGGAAGTTTTAGTGTTCTTATGTTATTTCATGTGGTTTTTTTATTAACGAGCTCCAGCCTCGTACTGAACCGGAGCTGAACCAGAGCGGTAGAATATGAAGGAAGATTACCCGTACAGCGAGGAACGTCAGAAAGCTGATAACCACTGTGGTGACACCCGTATCCTCTGATTGATACACGGGGAAAAAGGTAGGATTAAACTTAACCTGAAATTAAAACTGGAGTTCAAAGTTTTATTCAAGTGGAGTTAAAGTGTCTAAAAGGAGTCAAACAGAAGTTACTAAACTGGAGTTAAAGTGGTTATAAAGTACAATTAGACTGGAGTTAAACAGGGATTAATCTGGGGTTGAACTGGAGTCGAACGGGGATTAATCTGGAGTCGAACGGGGATTAATCTGGAGTCGAACTGGAGTTGAACAGGGATTGAACGGGGATTGAACTGGAGTCGAACTGGAGTCGAACAGGGATTAATCTGGAGTCGAACGGGGATTAATCTGGAGTCGAACGGGGATTAATCTGGAGTCGAACTGGAGTTGAACAGGGATTGAACGGGGATTGAACTGGAGTCGAACTGGAGTCAAACTGGAGTCGAACAGGGATTGAACTGGAGTCGAACTGGAGTCGAACTGGAGTTGAACAGGGATTGAACGGGGATTGAACTGGAGTTCAACTGGAGTTGAACTGGAGTTCAACTGGAGTTGAACTGGAGTTGAACGGGGATTAATCTGAAGTCGAACTGGAGTTGAACAGGGATTGAACGGGGATTGAACTGGAGTCGAACTGAAGTCGAACAGGGATTGAACAGGGATTGAACTGGAGTCGAACAGGGATTGAACGGGGATTGAACTGGAGTCGAACTGGAGTCGAACAGGGATTGAACTGGAGTCGAACTGGAGTTGAACTGGAGTTGAACGGAGATTGAACTGGAGTTGAACGAGGATTGAACTGGAGTTAAACAGGAGTCGAACAGGGATTAATCTGGAGTCGAACAGGGATTAATCTAGAGTCGAACGGAATTAATCTGGAGTTGAGATGTTTTTTTCAGCCCTTTAAAGAAAACATCAAACAATTTTTTCTAAAACATGAACATGTCAAACTTATTTACACCCGGTCTGACCTTTAACCTCTGCGATGATTTTCACATCAGTCCCACTCACAGGGAAGAGAACGTCCAGGAGGGTCCAGGAGAAAACCAGAACACAGTGTGGTGCAGTAAAGTCTGTCTGTGATATCAGAGTCCAGGAGAGTCCAGTAACTGGTTTCAGACCTTGTTTCATTTTATTAGTGAGATGAAAGATGATGGATTTTTGTTTGACACAGGTTAAATAAAACCAGAATGCGACAGACCGATCTGCTGCCAGCTGGAGTTTACCTGCTGTTTCATGTTAAACTTAAATACTGATGCTGTCTGTGGGTTCAGTTTTTCCAGGAGCCCGATTGGCTGATTGTTCCGACTTCTCAGGTGTGTAATTCTATAAATGGAGTGGTTCTCTGATGGAGGTGGGCGTCACCCAGAATTTAATAACATCAAATCCTAGAATGCTTTACTTCCAGTGTCTTATCATCCAACACGTCTTCAGTCCAGCTGGCTCAGGATCAGGACTCTACTGGACTGGTTTTTGCTTTTGACTTTCTTTCTTTTTTCTCCAGTCCAGTCTAGTCCTGATAAGCTCAGCAGAGGTCTGTAGGGTCAGTAGAGTCCAGTAGAGTCCAGTAGACGTGTAGACACAGCATTAAGACGAGTTCTGTGCTGACAGGAAGAGGCCTCAATCAGAGGATGAAGAAGAGGAGGATGACAACGAAGAGGATGGCGAGCAACACGCCGATAGCGCACCACTGACGACGATCTGTTGAAATACACAGTGTTAATAACTGTCAACTAAGTGCAACTAACTACAGCATAGCTAACGGCAACTACTACTAACTACAGCATTACTAACTGCAACTAACTACTGCATAGCTAACGGCAACTAACTACAGCATAGCTACCGGCAACTACTACTAACTACAGCATAACTAACTGCAACTAACTACTGCATAGCTAACGGCAACTAACTACAGCATAGCTAACGGCAACTACTACTAACTACAGCATAACTAACTGCAACTAACTGCATAGCTAACGGCAACTAACTACAGCATAGCTACCGGCAACTAACTACTAACTACAGCATAACTAACTGCAACTAACTACTGCATAGCTAACGGCAACTAACTACAGCATAGCTAACGGCAACTACTACTAACTACAGCATTACTAACTGCAACTAACTACTGCATAGCTAACGGCAACTAACTACAGCATACTAACTGCAACTAACTACTATGCATATAACGCAACTAACTACAGCATAACTAACTGCAACTACTACTAACTACAGCATTACTAACTGCAACTAACTACTGCATAGCTAACGGCAACTACTACTAACTACAGCATAACTAACTGCAACTAACTACGCATAGCTAACGGCAACTAACTACAGCATACTAACTACAACTACTACTGCATAACTAACTGCAACTAACTACTGCATAGCTAACGCAACTAACTACAGCATAGCTAACGGCAACTAACTACAGCATAGCTAACGGCAACTAACTACTAACTACAGCATTACTAACTGCAACTAACTACTGCATAGCTAACGGCAACTAACTACTAACTACAGCATTACTAACGGCAACTAACTACTAACTACAGCATTACTAACGGCAACTAACTACAGCATAGCTAACGGCAACTAACTACAGCATAGCAACGGCAACTAACTACTAACTACAGCATAACTAACTGCAACTAACTACTGCATAACGGCAACTAACTACAGCATAGCTAACGGCAACTACTACTAACTACAGCATAACTAACTGCAACTAACTACTGCATAGCTAACGGCAACTAACTACTAACTACAGCATAACTAACCGCAACTAACTACAGCATAACTTACCGCAACTAACTACAGCATAGCTAACTGCAACTAACTACTAACTACAGCATAGTTAACCGCAACTTACTAACTACAGCATAACTAACCGCAACTAACTACTAACTACAGC